CCCAAGTGAAAATTTGGTTACCCGTTAGCAGTCACTCCCCTTTTCTCCAGCCTTAGGCAACCACTAATCATTCACTTTCTATAAATTTACTTATTCTGGGCAGTTTCAATCCATGAAATCATGTAAGATGTGTCTTTTGTGACTGGTTGGTTATTTTTAATCTGTGTATTTATTATAATATCATTAAATGTTTCGTAGAAGTCAATAGAGTGGAAACAAATATACACATACTTCTCACTTACAAACTATCTTCGCATCTGACACTTAGCATTTACGACAATAGTGCAAAACCTACTCTCCACCTATTTTGCCCATTAATGGCGTATGTCTAGCAGTAATGAACATGAGGGGCAAGCGGGGAGTATTGCTGGTTGTGATGGTTAAAGTTCTGTGTCAGCTTGGCTGGGCCGTGATTCTCGGTGATTTGGCAGTTATGTAATGATAGAAATTGGCAGTTATGAATGTAATTTGACAGTTACGTGATACAGCCGTCATTCTCCATTTTATGATCTGATGTGGTCATCCTCTATTTTCATGTAACACTGATTTTCATATAACGACCTCATCTTTAGAACCTATGTCAATAAGTGAAGAGCAGGTGTAATTTTTAAAAATTACTGACTGCCTACTGAGCACAAAGTATTGGGCGTGTTATGATATAGCAGGAGTTGGCCAACTTTTCCTGTAAAGGACCAGATAATATATATTTTAGGCTTTGTGGGCCAAATGATCTCCTTGCAACCTGTCTGCTGTTTTAGCATGAAAGTGGCCATAAACAATATGTACACAAAAGAGTGTGACTATGTTCCAGTAAAATTTTATTTCCTGGAAACAGGCAATCAGTTATAGTTCGCTGACACCTGCTATAGGGATATAAAGAGGGAAAAGAAAATGGTCTCTTACCCAATAAACATAATAAAACAAGGACACAAATAATTCCTTGCCTCAAGGCCTTTTCCTCTCTACCATCTCTTGTGGCTCACTCTCCAGCCCCCACCTCCCCTGGCCAGCTCCTCGTGGTTCCCATGGCTCCAGATTAGATTAGATTCCTCTTCCTTGCTCAGTCGGCTTTCTGTACTCCTCCTTCATGGCATTTCCCTCAACAGTAATAAACATCTCGTGTAATCAGTTGTTTAAAGTCATTTTTCTCTACTAACATATAAGTGTGTCTATCTTGATCACCAGAGTCCCTGGGTGGTACGAACAGTTAAGTGCTCAACTCCAAACAGAAGGTTGGAGGCTTGCGTCCAACACAGGTGCCTTGGAAGACAGGCCTGGGGTCCTGCTTCCCAAAGATCACAGTCTGAAAAATCCCATGGAACACAGTTTGACCCTGCACACTTGGGATGGCCCTGAGTCAGTCTACTCAACAGCAGCTGGTTTTGGTGTCTGGATCACCAGGGTCATACTCATGACCTAATAGAGTCCTTTGCACATTTAATTACTTTAGTATTTGTTGATGTTTCTCAAGTCTGGGACGTAGGATGAAAGTACCACACACAGAAACTACAGTACGGGCTCAGGGCCCCAGTTGTCTGAGCCGTACCCTGTTTCTGCCTCACTAGCACACAGTGTTGGGCAAGTTCCTTACCTTCTTACTACTCCAGTGACCACACGTGAGAGGTAGGGATAAGAGTGCTTGCTAGCGCACAAGGTCATTAGGAGGATTTAATGAGATAGGGTACCACCTTAGCACAGTGAAATGTTCAGAAAAGTTCAGCTCTCATTTCCAGAGGAGTTTGGAGTCCCTGGGTAGTACAAGCAATTAATGCATTTGGCTGCTAACTGACTGGTTGGGGGTTCAGGTCTGTCTAGAGGCACCTCAAAAGAATGCCTTAGCAATCCACTTCGAACTAATCAGCCATTGAAAACCCCGTGGAGCACAGTTCTACTCTGACACATAGGGTCACTGTGAGTTGGAATCCAACTGGTGACATAGGTTGGCATGAGCTGCATATGCAGACAAGGATTGCTTCATGAGTGGTAGCCACTGCCACTGCCCTCAGAAGGTGTTTCGGTCTACTGGAAAAGTTCTGCCCCCATTGAAGGTCAAAGGAAACTTGAGTTTTTGGACTTAACGGTTTGTGTTACCTCAGTCATCAATTAAGAAAGTGTCTGTCCAGGATCAGGAATATGCTGGTACAGTTTGCATGGAATAGCATGCATGGAGGCCTGAGTCTGGTCCCATTCTGCTGTGTGATGTAGGGCTTGTCTCCTAACTTCTCTGAGCCCCAGCATCCTCATTTTCAAAATGCTCATTAAGATAACTGCCGTGTCTCCAATAGAACAATGTAGAAGGAAGGACCATGTATAAAATCTAAATCTAAAAATATACAAAATCTAAATAAACCAATCTCTTGTTCTTTCAGGTGGCTGCAGAGTGTCTCTTAGTATAAACAGGCTATGATTTATCCAGGATTTTTTCTATCGATAGATACTGATATATTGCCAGTTAAAATTTACTTACTTACAATATGTTGTTGTTGTTGTTATGTGCCGTCGAGTCGGTCACCCGCCTCAAAAACCCCCTCCTTGGGTTTCTGAGGCAGTATCACTATGGAAGTAGATTGCCTGGCCTTCCCTCCCGGGGAGGGGTGGGTGGGTTTAAACGGCCAGCCTTCTGGTTAGCAGTCAAGTGCTTTCAGCACTACGCTACCAGAGTTCCTTACAATATATTAGTATAGTCCAAAAAGGGAGTTTAAAAAGCCAGAAGTAGTCACATTTTAGTAATCTGCCAGTAATTAGTAACTTGGGGGTTATTTTCTTTAAATTTAAATTGTGAATTTAATATATGCTTAGTGCAGAAAATTAGAAACTCTTAAAATTCACAAAATTAAAAATAGCTACCTGAAATCTCACCAAATTAATAGATACTTTTTCATTATCTTCAACACACCCACAGGTACTTCTTATGCTAAAATGAACATGTCTTTTTTGTCACCTTACATCATTATTTTTAAAAAGGCAGAGGCGTCAAAATGTAAGGGGCAGATAATATTTATTTCTTCATTACCTTTTTGGCTCAGATGATCTTTTCAAAAAGTAAAGACCAATGGCTTTCCCCAGCATATCTTCTCCTTCCCACCTTTCCAACCGCCCTTAAAACTCCTCCTTATACCATGTAACTGGCACATTGACCGAAGGGAGAAAGAACGTGCTCCTTTTTCGCTAGTCCAGTTTGCTGTCCTCACGGAGATTGTGTCTCTTTGTTGGCACTTGGGTGATCTGTCCTTTTCAAATATCCTTCCCAGCTTCACAAACAACCTGCAAGCAAAGCTCCGTCCTTCCAAATGACAGTGTGTCTGAGGCTGGCTTTATTTTTGATCTCCTTCTTTCTTTAGACCTGAGCCTCCTCCTGGCAGATTATCCCAGGCCTCCTTCCCCTTCTTACACTCGTGGCCTACATTCCAGGAGACCAAGCCTGGCACATGTTAATGAATGTAGGTTTTATTTAGAAACATGACCACTTGTCACTGCTCAGTGTCATGTTATCAAGGCAGAGCCTACTCACATTTGTCTAGAGTGGACATTTTCATACTTCCATACTCCGACAAGGGGAACTCTCGTTCCCATGAGAGTGTTAGCCGTTTGCTCTGCAGAACCTGACTTTGGCGAGTGGGAGCTTCATGGTGGTGGCGAAGGAGCCGTGTGCTGTGAGGATGGCAGAGGACAGCTGTGTGGATGCAGATCTCCCGGACTGTAACTGCGATGTCACAAGGCAGGCATCTCCTTGGGTTTCTTGCACTGTGCATAGCTTTCCTGTGACGTGGGGGTTTGTAGGCTAGAGGCTGGAAGCTTTCATCCCTTATTACTTTGTGCCAATATTACGTGGAGATGATCAGTGTTTGAAGATTGTTGGCCATGGCCTCCAAGTAGTTATTAGTTGGTTTATTCCTCTTGTCCCCCTGCTGGGCATGTGAAGCTGTCTGAGAAGGTTAATGGATTTTGTTATTGCTTGGTATTACAGTTGCCTCTTGACTATATGAGTCATGCAAGGGGTATGGTTACAGTAGAAAGACTGAGACACAGGACAGAAAGTCAGAAGGATATGCAGTCTGTCCATCATCTGACGCTGATGGTCAGGCTTCTGGCGGAACGGAAGCCCACCTCTGCCAGCTCACAGCTTTGGAGCTGAAAGCTGCCCTGGTTAAATAAACATCTACTCAGGTTATCAGGGCCTTGGAGGATTCCCTCTTTATTTGTGTATGACAAAGTTGCTTTTGTTTGTGTTTATCAGTAGGTTTTGGTTACTGACTAGTATCCCACATTTAAAATATAAGTCCAAAATGTACACATTTATGTTGAAAATAATAAGTCAGTGATTTGGACAAATATTAATTTCATGATATTTTACAAGTAGGGTAATAATGTGACAGAGGTTTTCATTTTTCATTTTCAATAGTATCATCTCCCAAATAAATTCCTCTAGGTGAATAGGTTTATGAATGATATTCTTCTGGGTTTATTATATTTAGAATTTGAATTTATTTTTGTTTTATTTTATGGAGCTATTAAATGAGTGGGAGTAAAAGTAGTGAACATTATTTGTATGGATAAATATAGACATATAACTATAGATATGTGTGTGTATGTATTTGACAATGTTAAAAAACAAAACAAGATAACTGGATTTAAGTAGAATTCTTCTCAAGGAAGGTCACGTGCATGTGATTCACATTGACTTTGACATGAGGCATGGTGTTACTGTTGTTAGGTGCTGTCAAGTTAGTTCCTACTCATAGTGACCCTACATACAGCAGGAGAAATGAACTGCAGGAACTTACAGATTTATCAAGCTTGCTAAATTTATCAGGCATCCAGGCTTATAATTCAAAATAGAAGCTTACATGTGACCTCTGTAAGCATCTGTTTTGAATAATAATCTTGGCTGCTACCAAAAGGAATGGCGCTCAAACTTCTTATGCCAATAAGTAAATGCAAATATTGTGACACTTTACCCAAGGATTTCTTTTTTAAAATAATGGAAAAAACAAAGGGGATCTCCCTTAAAAAAAAAAAAAAAATGCCCTCTGTCCTGCCCATCCCAGGTTTAATTAGTTTCAGAAAAGTGTATGGAGGTTTTGCTAACTATTTCCCCCCAGTTCACATCAGCTCCTCCTACACACACACACACACACACACACACACATACGTACCACATCTTGCTATTTGTTCTAAAATACACTTTTAAGAAAAATGAATAAGGAGAACCACTTAAATGTTCACCCTACTGACTTCACTAGGTTTATATGTTAGTTTGAAAGAGGAATTTGTCCCTAATGGACTGTATGAATAAGCATTTCCATGTCACGATGCCCTTGACATATTGCACACTAGCTGCTCCGACGATCAGAACTTGTTCAATATTATACAGGATACTGAAACCTGCAGTTCATTTGGCAAGTGTAGACAGTATCCAGTGAGACCATGTTTATGTGCATTCCTTCGCGCTTTGGACCTTCGGATCATATTTGCAAGTAATTGAACTAAGACAATGAATGAATTTTAGTAGTTGACAAGCAGACCATTTGCAAATGTTGGACATAGAAGAGAAACTTAAGTGCACATTTAATACCAGATAAAAGAGTTCCATACAAAACTTCCATGATGTTATGCTATAAAATCCAAAGAAGCTCTAGTGGGACAGTGTTTAAACACTTGGCTGCTGACTAGAAGGTTGACAGTTCAAACCCATGCAGCAGTTCCATGGGAGAAAGGCCAGACAATCTGTTCCTTAAAGATTACAGCCGAGATAATCCTATGGAGCAGTTCCACTACACCACAGAGGGTCTCTGAGAGTCAGAATTGACTTGACAGCACCCAAAATCAACAAGTAAAATCTCATCCCAAAGGCAAGGTCAGTATTCATATCCTACCAGATCTGAAGGCAGGAGGCTGGCCGAGGAGAAGAGGCGGTTGAGAGGACATTCTTACAGGGACCAAACCAGGACAGACATCTCAGTGTTCCACTGGGTTTATTGGTTGTAGACTGTCCTTTCAGCCTGGGCAATAGAGCAGTATGTTAAATGCCACGCCCCTGCTATGGTCATTGCTAAAATGTTCTTCCTTCCTTTGTACCTTGTAGCCATTTAAAAGGACCATTCATTAACTGAAACCCAAGTAAACATTGTACTATATATGAGAGAAATGTGAGTGGGTTGCATGTAAAATTTCTTGGAAATATTTTTCAAGACCAATGTCTTAAAATGCCCTGGGGACAAAGTACAATTTGTATTTTTAAAGCTAATTAGGGAAGTCTTATCTGGAATGGAATTACGAATCATGATAAATCTCTGCAACATCATGTTTTCTGGTCCCTATCAATATTAATATAATTTTTAAAGCACATATTTTTCCAAGAAATATGTGGTAGTAAGCCTGAGTCCTTTACAGACTGAAAGTGTTGTTGAGCTATACCCACTGCCATCAAGTTGATTCCGACTCACAGCCACCCTATAGGAGTGAATAGAACTTCCCCCATAGGGTTTCCAAGGCTGTAAATCTTTACAAAAGCAGACTGCTTCATCTTTCTCCCACAGACTAGCTGGTGGGTTTGAACTGCTAACCTTTCAGTTAGCAGCTGAGTACTTTAACAACTATACCACCAGGGTTCTCTCCCTATTCAACTGTTACTACTACTCTCTATCCACCATCAGTCGATTCTGATTCATAGCAACCCTGTAGGACAAAGTAGAACTGCCCCATGGGGTTTCTAAGGCTGTAAATCTTTACAGAGCAGACTGCCTTGTCTTTCTCCCACAGAGCAGCTAGTGAGTTTGAACCACTGACCTTGTGGTTAGTAGCCAAATGCTATAAGCACTACACCACTAGAAGCCCTATCAAATATAGGTATTATTAATTATACTTAATCAAATATTGGTATTACTATTAATAATAATTCAGAGAAAATCCTTTTAAAACATTTGTATGACAAAGAGGAAAAGTTAATATGTCATCAGATGTCTAGACTTTCATTGGAAAGAGAAACGTTAATTTATTGAAATTAAAATAGAAGTACTCATCATTTTAAGCAACTAAAGATATAGATATTTCAGAATACTTCGATGATAAGACCTTTTTTTTCGACCAGTGGCTCTTAACCAGAGAAACAGTTCAAAACCATCTGGGGAGGGGTCAAGAAAAGAGCTAGCACCTGTTCCAACTTACCTACAAATTCTTAAAGGCAGAGCAACATATCTCTTGTAACCTGGTGACTGCCTGTACCACGAATGTAATGATTTAAAATAACACCTACTTATGAGCTCACAGTTCTGTAGGTCAGATGTTTGGATATGATATAACTGATGTATGCAATTCCTATTTAGTCTTACTTGACTGCAAGAAGAGGCTTGAAGCCTCTTCAATGATTTAAAAGCTGTAATTGCAGCAAGTGAAGGTGATTAGGATGAAGAATTTGTCGTGTGTAGGGGTTGGTTCAGTCGTTTCAAAGTAAGGACAAATTTACATAACATTAAAGGCCAGGTATGAGTTGTCTGTAATTTGGAAGTTGGACCTTCTTAACCTGGGGACTTATTGTTTCACATTTCTAGAATATTAAAGAGTTGTGTTGCTTTTGACATTTTTTCAAGCAGATACCTCTTGGTATCTGCTTGGTCTAAGTTGACACCCTAGGAGATTGATGTGTTTGCTGTTCACTTGTATTAATGAGGTGAGCAACCTGAGGTCTTGGCTCGCCCACATTGAAGCAGAGCTGGCCAAGCTGATTGTCTATGATTCCTGTGACTCAGAAGAGATCCAGAAAAAGCTTAGTGAGCAGCAGGTAAGACTTAAAAATAACTAAAGGAAAGTTCACAGGCCCTGCAATGCTTGTCCTCCAGGCCAGGATGGGGGGGTACATATGGATGCTGAATGGGGATGGAAGACAGGAGTGGGGAGAAGCAGAGGCCTTAGCTCAGGACGTGTTTGGGGCAAATGGGTTTCATGTCACTGCATGGAAGCTGACTCTTACACCATCATAGGGTTAGTATATTTCCGGAACCAAAAGACAAGACTGTTGCTCTGAAAGCAGAATTGAATTTTACATCAGGGCTGTACCAAAAATCACTGATTGTATATTTATGTTCTCTATGACTTTTGCTTGTAGAGCAATCAGTATATACCCAGCCATGTCAACAGGAGGGTCTCAATAGTAGATTTTTGCTATTTTTAACAATAATAATAGAGTTGAGAAACACTACCAGCTTCCCTCCTACACTCCTACTCAAACCCTGCTAACACTGGTGAAATTTCTTTCCAAAAGTAATTTATCCCTGCTCTTTTCTCCTTGGCCCCACCTCCTCTGTATCCTCTTTCCATCATCTTCAGTCATCCACAGTTTCCTCTTTTTGCTTCCATCTTTGGCCTCTTCTCATGGGAGAGGAATTATTCTGTCTAAAAACATTCTAAGGCTGTCCCATAAGACAAAAACAAACACAAAATCAACTTTTCTTTGAAGCCAGCAGCTCTAAATCGTATTTCCTCACCTTCATTGACAGCTTTCCTACAGTAACTACATTTCCTCTCCGTAAACGCAGCCCAGCCCGGAGCCTTCTGCTTGCGCTCCGACTGCAGTGTCCTTCAGAGATGACCAGATCTCGAGCACTCTTTTCAGGCCTCATCATTCTACACTGCTCTGCATCTGACAGGGTGAACTGGCGTTCCCCAAATTTACCATTCCTAAGTATCACCAGGAGTGCTTACTAAAAATGCAAATTCCCTTGGCCATACCCCCAGAGATTCTGAGTCAGTAGGACCTGGATGTGGTCCAGGAAGCTGCAGTTATGGGAAGCAAACCAGGTGAATCTGATGCAGGTGGTCTTCAGATCACACTTTTGACCAACATGACATCCTTCTAGAAACCCTCCTGCTGCCTTTAATCCTATCTGCACTTTCCTGGTTCTCTTCTTTGCCTTCTGATTATATTTTCTTAGTCTGTGATTCTTCCTTCTTTACAAGTTTTTTGAAAGTCATTCTTTTTAGTCTATACCTTCTCAAGATGAACTCATTCACTCATGGGGCTTCAACTCTATGCTGACAATGCCTAAAGCAATGTTATAAACTCCTACCTCTCTTCTGGACCTTAGAACTACGTTTCCAACTAACTGCTGTACATTTCTTCTGGTCCCTCAGATGCATACTGTCCCAAATTTAATGTGGCATTAATCGTAAGAACCTGCTCTCCATCCTTTAGACTCTAAATCAGGATCATCCTTGTAGCCACTGGGCTAGAAACCACATCATTTTTAAATCTTTACCATTCCTCTTGCTAATCTTATCATTCTTCTGCTAATAAATCTTGACAAGGCTCCTATTTATCTTTAAAACAGAATGCAAACTCATTATCATGTCACTGGAGATCTTTATAATCTTTCCCACCTACCCCCAGTCTTATCTCTCATCACTTCTCTCTTCCAGCCTCACACTCCCACCCTTGCCAACACTACCACATTATTTGTCCTCAAGTTCTCAGGTTTTCTTGTTTCCTAGGTTGGAAATGTTCTCTTTGGCTTGCATCCACCAATCAAGATGCAGTTCAAGTGTCATTTCCTCATTTCACCTCTTTTATTAAAGTCCAGCCTGCCTAAGGAGCCAGGATGGTGCTTTACTCATCATTGTATTCCCATCACTGCATGACATCATCCTAGCACAATAAACATTTGTAGAAAGAATCAAGAAATGGAGTGGTTAATGTGGTGAATGAATGAGGCATTACCTGAAATAATTACCTGAAAAAATTACCACTTATTTCTTAGCCAGTGACTCAGTTCATGTCTTTAGTTTAGTTCTTACCATACTGTATTAACTTTCATTGTCCGCATGTTCAGATTTCCGATCAGATTGTGCATTTCAATCAATCAAGTCTTATTTATCTTTGTCTTCCTAGCAGCTTACAGTTAAGACAATTTCATATATGATTATTAGATAAATGACAGTCTTAAGAAATTGATTTTTCCTGCTTCTTGGAAAGAATGGGAATTTAAAAAAGAAAGCATGTTATGCAGTGAAGACTGCACTGAACTAGCTTTAGAGATGGAAGGCTGCATAGTGTATCTTTATATCTGCCCTGTGTCTCTTACAATCTAACTAGTGCTCAGTGACCTTTAACATGATTAGGACATGTAACAAATCACAGACAGTTTATCTGGAATGTGTTGTTTTATTTTAACCCACAAGCATGCTGAGATTATATTTGGTCAATATCAGAACTGTGGATATGTAGTAAGTTTGGTGAAAGGCAGTGGAAAGAACTAAAATTTTCATTTCCCAGGTATTCCTCATAAGAAAAATAAATTGTGTTGTTGTGGGATTAGCAATTCTTTAGTGAGCTCTGGTGGCATAGTGCCTAAGCATTTGACTGCTAACCAGAAGGCTGGTGGTTCAAACCCATTAGCCACTCCTTGAAAGGAAGATTGGGCAGTCTACTTCCATAGTGATACTGCCTCAGAAACCCAAGGAAGGGTCGCTATGTGTCGACGGCAGTGAGTGAGTGAGTTGGTGACAATCAGATTTCTGTCAATGTTACATTATTACAACTTTGTTGATTATAGTAATAGCTCATATTTGTTTGAATGTTTCCCATGTACTGGCAACTCTTCATGATTCAACTCATTTACATCTTACACGTACTCTTACTTTATCCCTATTTCATAGATAAGGAAATAGGAACAGGAAGGTAGGGTAACCTGCCCGAAGTCACACAGGCATTAAGTGGCTGAATGGACCAGCACAATTAGACTTTAGGAGCAGTGCTTCACCTTTGGTCGTGAGTGAAGCCTCTCACTGAAGCAGCATGTGTCCCTTTCCCTCCCACAGGGTGAAGAAGTTGAAGGAGACCCTGGTGGCCGTGCAGCAGCTAGATAAGAATATGAGCAACCTGAGGTCTTGGCTCGCCCACATTGAAGCAGAGCTGGCCAAGCCAATTGTCTATGATTCCTGTGACTCGGAAGAGATCCAGAAAAAGCTTGGTGAGCAGCAGGTAAGACTTAAAAAAATAACTAAAGGAAAGTTCACAGGCCCTGCAATTTGGCCAGGATGGGGGGGGGGTACATGGGGATGCTGAATGAGGATGGAAGACAGGAGCAGGGAGAAGCAGAGGTTTTAGCTCAGCAGGTGTTTGGGGCAAATAGGTTTCATGTCACTGCACAGAAGCTGACTCTTGTGCCATCATAGGGTATCACTGGCCCACCAGGAAGCTGTTCTCAGACTGTAAGTATAATTGAACTGCAGTAATGTACCAAACAGTGCTGATATTTTTGTTTGTGAGTCATTGGCCCTTAGATATAGAAAGAAGTCTTTTTCCTGTGTATAGTTGTTCTGGTTCCCTAGTGCCACTCTGACAAGAAAATACCACAAATGGGAGAGCCTTAATAAATAGGAGTTTATTCTCTTACAGTTTGGAGGTGTTAAGTCCAAGTTCAAAGTGCCAGGCTCTAGGGGCTGGGTGAAAGCCCCTCAACCTTGGGGTCCAGCTCTGCCTCCTGCTCCTGGCCCACTGGAGCTAGAGGCGTTTCTTCACTCAGACAGCTGCTGGCTGCTGAGGTCACAAGCCCAAGGTTGACAAATAAAATGGCACAGTCCCGATGTTACCAAACCACACAGCAGGCCATTAATTCAAGTCCATTGTAAGTCCCAAGTTTGGCAGAGCATGGCAGGCTGCTAACAACGACACAGCTACATGCAGGGTCCAAGCATGCCATAGGCTAGAGACCATTCCCAAGGCTTCTCCTTATATACAGGAAGCAGACCACATCCCAAAGGCAGCTTACTCAGCTGCATATGGTAGATCTCACCATGGAATTGATTGCCAGTCTCATCATGGGGAATAACTACCACCAGCTGCCCAGCCACTCAACCAGGCCCAGCCAAGTTGGCACACAAATTTATCTACCACAATAGTGTTTGGAGAAAGATGATAGTACGTAGTTAGAGTTTTTAGAGTCTGAAAATATTTTGCTTTGCAAAGATGATTGCATAAATCGTAGAAAAGACATTTTAAGTTTACTCTCATGTATGTAGCAAAGACAACATATCTCACTGGCATGCAACACTCAACCCCAAAAAGTAAAAGGGGTTGACCTTGAAAACTCCATAGACACAATATTCACCTCCTCCATTCATTAATTCTTACTAAATATGTCAGACTCCAGTTGTCAGTAATTGTAGTTGTTAGGTGTTATCAAGTCAATTCCGATTTATATCAACCCCATGTGCAACAGAACGAAATACTGCCTGATGCTTCATCATGGTCACAATCACTGTTATGTTTGAGCCAATTGTTACAAACACTATGTCAACTCATTTCATTGGGAGTCTTCCTCTTTTTCACTGACCCTCTACCAAGCATGATGTCTTCTCTAGGGACAGGTCCCTTCTGATAACTTATCCAAAGTACATGAGATGAAGTCTCACCATCCTCTCTTCTGAGGAGCATGCTTGCTGTACTTCTTCCAAGACAGATTTGTTTGTTCTCCTGGCTTATTGTTGTTATTGTTATGTGCTGTCAAGTTGTCTTCAACTCATAGTGACCTTATGCACAACAGAATGAAACACTGCCCAGTCCTGTGTCAGCCTCACAGTCCCTACTATACCTGAGCCCACTGCTGCAGCCATCATGTCACTACATCTTGTTGAGGGCCTTCCCCTCTTTCACTGACCATCCACTTTACCAAGCATGACATCCTTCTCCAGAGGATGGTCCCTTCTGACAACATGACAAAAGTGGTGAGACGAAGTCTAGCCATCCTCACTTCCAAGGAGCATTTAAGCTGCACTTCTTCCAGGACAGATGTGTTAGTTCTTTTAGCAGTCTGTGGCACTTTCAGCATTCCTCGCCTACACCACAACTCAAAAGCTTGTCCAATCTTCCTTATTCATTGTCCAGCTCTCACATGCTCATGAGGCAACTGAAAATACCATGGCTTGGGTTGGGTGCACTTAGTCTTCAAGGAGATATCTTTGCTCTTCAGTGCCTGAAAGAGGTCTTTTGCAACAGATTTGCCCAATGTGATACATCTTTTGATGTCTTAACTGCTACTTCCATTGGCATTGATTGTAAAATCAAGTAATATGAAGTCTTTGACAACTTCAGTCTTTTCTCCATCTATCATGATGCCACTTATTGGTCCAGTTGTGAGGATTTTTGCTATCTTTATGTTAAGGTGTAATCCATACTGTAGTAATCCATACTCTAATTTTCATCAGTAAGGGCTCTAAGTCATCCTCACTTTCAACAAGCAATGTTGTTTCATCTGCATATTGCAGATTGTTAATAAGCCTTCTTCCAATCCTGATGTCACGTTCTTCTTCATATAGTCCAGCTTCTCAGATTATTTGCTCAGCATACAGATTGAATAAGTATGGTGAAAGGATACAACCCTGACACACTCCCTTCCTGATTTTAAACCATGTTTGAATGACAGCCCCTTGTCTATGTACAGGTTCCTCATCAATATAATTAAGTGTTCTGGAATTGCCATTCTTCTCAATGTCATCCACAGTTTGTTATGATCCACACAATTGAATGCCTTTGCATAGTCAATAAAACACAAGTAAACATCTTTCTGATATTCTTTGCTTTGAGCCAAGATCCATCTGACATCAGCTATTATGTCCCTTGCTCCACATCCCCTTCTGAATCCAGCTTGCATTTCTGAAAGTTCTCTGTCAATATACTGCTACAACCATTTTTGAATTATCTTCAGTAATATTTTACTTGCATATGATATCAATGATACTGTTCAATTATTTCCACATTTTGTGGGATTGCCTTTCTTTGGAATGATACAAATATGGATCTTTTCCAGTCAGTTGGCCAGGTAGCTGTCTTCCAAATCTCTTGGCATAACTAAGTGAGTGCCTCCACTCATCCATTTGTTGAGACATCTCAGTGGGTATTCCATCAATTCCCAGAGCCTTGTTTTTCTCCAATTCCTTTAGTGCAGCTTTGACTTCTTCCTTCAGTATCATTGGTTCTTGATCATATGCTACCTCCTGAAATGGATGATCATCTACCAGTTCTTTTTGGTACAGTGATTCTGTGTATTCCAGCCATCTTCTTTTGATGTTTCCTGAATCATTCAACATATTGCCCATGGAATCTTTCAGTATTGCAATTTGAGGCTTCCATTTTTTCCTCAGTTCTTTCAGCTTGAGAAATGTCAAGCATATTCTTCCCTTTTGGTTTTCTAACTCCAGGTCTTTGCAAGTTTCATTATAATAATTGACTTTGTCTTCTCAAGCTGCTCCATGAAATCTTCTGTTCAGCTCTTTTATCTTGTCATTTCTTCCCTTTGCTTTAGCTATTCTCCATTCAAGAGCAAGTTTCAGTCTCTTCTGACATCCATTTTGATCTTTTCTTTCTTTCCTATCTTTTTAATGACCTTTTGCTTTCTTCATGTATGATATTCTTGATGTCATCCCACAATTCCTCTGATTTTCAGCCATTGGTGTTCAGTGCATCAAATCTATTCTTTAGATGGTTTCTAGATTCAGGAGGGATATAATCAAGGTCATATTTTGGCTCTCATGGACTTCTTTTAATTGTCTTCAGTTTCAACTTGAAGTTGCATATGAGCAGTTGATGGTCTATCCCACAATCAACTCCTGGCCTCATTTTAGCTAAAGATATTGAGTTTTTCCATTGCCTCTTGCCACAGATACAGTCAATCTGAATCCTGTGTACTCTGGCTGGTGAAGTCTACATGTATAGCTGTCATTTGTTTTGTTGAAAAAAGGTATTTGCAATGAATAAGTCATTGGTCTTGCAAAATTCTATCATGCGATTTCCAATGTCATTTCTATCACCAAGACCATATTTTCCAGCTACCAGTGATTATTCTTTGTTTCCAACTTTTGCATTGCAGTCACCATTGATAATTAACACATCTTGAGTACATGTTTGGTTGATTTCAGACTGCAGAAGTTGGTAAAAATCTTCAATTTCCTCATCCTTTGCTTTGGTGGTTGGTGCGTAAATTTGAATAATAGTAATATTAACTGGTCTTTCTCATGTTGTTGTTGTTGTATGCTGTCAAGTCGGCCCCGACTCATAGCGACCCCTCCTTGGGTTTCTGAGACAGTGTCACTACGGAAATAGGATTGCCCAACCTTCCTTCCGAGGAGTGGTCTTTCTCATAGGTGTATGGATATTATCCTATCACTGACAACATTATACTTCAGGGTAGATCTTGAAACATTCTTTGTAATGATGAATGCCATGCCATTCCTCTTCAATTTGTCATTCCCAGCATAATAGATCATATGATTGTCTGAGGCAAAATGCCCAAAACTAGTCCATTTCAACTCAACAACTAGGGTGTCAATCTTTTTTCATTCCATTTCATTTTTGACAACTTCCAGTTTTCCTAGATTCATACTTGGTACATTCCGTGTTCCAATTGTTAATGGATATTTGCAGCTGTTTCTTCTTGAGTTGTGCCACATCAGCAAAAGGAGGTCTTGAAAGCTTTACTCCATCCACATCATTAAGGTCAGCTCTATTCTGAGGAAGAAGCTCTTTCCATATTTTGAATGCCTTCTGTCCTGAGGGGCTCATCTTCTGGCACTATATCAGATAATGTTTCAGGGCCATTTTTCAGTGATTTATCGGTGTTTCACAACTATTCATAAGGTTTTCCCTGGCCAATTCTTTGAGAAGTGGATGGCCTCTTCCATCTTCCAAGTCTGTCTTAGTCTGGAAGCTCCACTGAAACCTGTCCACCATGGGTGACCCAGTTGGCATTTGAAACACCAGTGGCATAGCCTCCAGCCTCACAGCAACACACAAGCCACCACAGGATGACAAACTGACAGATGAGTTCGTCTCCCTTAGCTGTTCCAAACTGCTCCACTCCTGCTTTCTGGCCTTCTTTACCTGTTCTGACTCTCCAAAAGGCATCTGCTGCTACTTCCCAGCCTTCCCCTACCAGTTCCAGCCCTCCAAAAAACCGTCTGCCACTTCTTCTGGCAGTCCATGGT